AATGTGACTTTTTCCACAGCTTTAAATGTGTTTCCTGTGTGGTGGTGTGGTGTTACAATTATTTTATGAACAATTGCAGTGTCACATACTGAATTTCGGGTAACACTTAGACCTTTCCTTGTTTAAAATTAATCTCTGATTTTAATTGAGTGAAGAACTGTGGTTACTTTTTGAATGTAATGGCAGTGCGTAAAGCTCAGTTGTTGGAATACACTCTTTGATTAATTTTTTTCTGAATTTTACCTTTAGAAAATTTTGCCACACACCAATTAAACTTTTCTCCCTTATATCATAAGGGAGAGACTACCTGGATTAACATTTTTTCAGCTAACGTTTTTTCCCCACTGCACCAACTAAAAACGTTAAGCAAGGGTTGACTGTACAAGTTCTCCTGACAAAGGCAAAAGAAAAGAAAAGAGAATAATATACAGTACTGTATTCTGTTCACCATTGATGGTGGGAAAGTAAAGAACTTTGACCTTCAACCCTAAGTCATCCTCTCTTTTCCTTCCATTCCTTGGAAAATGTAAAGAAATGATTGCTAAAATTTCTTCTAAGCTTTCCAAACTGTTTTTTACGTAGGTTATATTGTACATTATTCCTGAATTTGTTTCAAATTATTTTATTTATAGACAGTGCTCCTATTTTTTTACATAAATCTACATATGAAATATAATCAAAGCCCATTTGTTTCATGAATGAAAAAGTCATAATTCCGATTTAATCAAGTTCTGTGTATATGTATGCATCATCATGCTTGAGATTTTTAAGCATCACCATTGAAACAGTCCAGCACATCATATGAATGAGTCATGTAAATATTGTATCATACAAAGAATATTCCTGATATTGACAAACAATTTTCAAAGATGAAATTTCCGCGAATTTCACTTGTAATATTTTCTCCAGCATGAGCTGAATGCCAGATATGAGAAACTTTCCTGATTCATCAACATTTTGACAATATCATCTGGAAAAGTTTACAGTAAAAATAATTTGATTGTTGAAATTTTCGAGCTTGAGAATTTGCAATATCAGATGAAAGTCCCCATCAGTGTGAATGTCACGCATTTTTCAGTATAGGAGCCATTGAAAGTAAGACATCACTCATATTTTTTTATGCATTGTCTACATATAGGGCGTATTAATTTTAAAATCTTTGAAATTATGTTTTGAAAAAACAATCATAAAGACTTCTTAAAATTCGCTGAGCTACTATGAAAAAAATTCACTGGCCACATATTACTAAATTTTTATTTGAAATAGTTGCTACCCAGTAAACATGATATTGCTTTAAATTTAAAATATACACGGCAACCATCACATAATTTAACACATAACACAAGCAAAACGCATCAAATTTGGAAGAAAATGCGTTGAAAAAATGTTCTTCATGCTCTTTCAATGTAATTTCTGCTTTTCTGGTCAGAAAAATATGTTTTATTTATTCTTTAAGCAAGGGAAAGAAAAATCCACTGTCAACAAAGAATGAGGCTTTTTTTGAACTTGAATATTCTTGAACAACATTTGATATAGAGTTTTCAGAAAATTTCCATACCTGGACTCCAAATTCAAAGTTTGAATGGAACACTTCTGTAAGCATCATGAGATTACACAACATTATACGCATTTCTAAGAAAATCTTTGGATTTCCCAAAAGATTTTCGATTGACAAACGTAGATGCTTTGAATGTGGTGTTTCCATGTGCACTTCGTCCAGAATTACAATCACCTGTTTGAAGAAAAATGACATAAAAATTGTGAAATCAATTTGAAATCCCTTAAAAGATACTAATTTTTGAATATAATAACGCTCACTTCCCCAGCCTATGCACTGTTTGTTCTCTGCTAGAAACTTGTCCAAAAATCGCTCCAAAGGCTTGTAGAATCTTTTGAGTGAATCAGCTGTCATGGTTTTCTGACCAGTGATTTTCTCCAGGACCAGAGGCCAGGGTTTGGAGGACCCAAGATGCATGGCTTTCCTGTGACCAATTTCAAATTATTTTTTGGCGAATTATAAAAAAATGAATGCAATTTTATTGCACCTCAAAAGATCCCCAGCAGGTTTGCTTTTGTAAAAATCGCAATTGTGCAGTGGTTTATCTGCTTTGTTTGGGTCATATTCACCAGCTGCTTTGCACATGGCTTCATGGAATTGGTGTTGCAAAATTATGCTCATGAAGTACCTGCATTTGGGTATACAATTATAATTTCTTTGTGTGTGTTGTTCAATTCAGCATATGTTTGGATAAAATGAAGCAGACCTTATGTATGAAACCCCATTGGCAACATGGTAAATAGCCCCAGGGTCCAAATCTTCCTCTGTTCTTGGCATGGGTTTAATTCCCATGAGTCTCTCCACATGATCCCAATAAGCTTTATTCATGTTTTTGTTTGTCACAGAATCATTGCCCAGGACATCCCTGTACATATAAAATGAAAGAAGTTGTCCTGTGCAAACATCTCATAAACAAGTTTACCATCGCCAAAGGTCCAGGCTGTAAGCAAATCCCAACTGCCCAAAGGTTGAAGACGCCTTTGTCAGCAAGATGTTAATATCTTTTTCTGCAATTTCTTGACTTGAAAATCGTCCAGGTTTCAGAAGACCAATTTTTTGCAGATGCTTCATGGATGAAGAAGAAAGTGACATTGTGTCTCCTATGGCTTCATGGAATCCTGTTCATTGTAAAATCGACCCTTTTGTATTATTCTTTTGAAGCATCTATTGTAATAAAATGCATGACCTTACCACTGTTAGCACCATCTCGGAATTGTGTTGGTAGATGTGAATAGGACATGAAATACTGAATGTGACCCATTTCATGATGGATTGTTGCAAGATCACCAGGTGTCACTTCTGCACAATATTTTATCCTGAAAACAGAATTTCATAAATTCAAAACATAAAACAAAATATTCAAATGCTGGATCATATTACATCCTCTCATGTTGAGGTGAACATCCCTAAAAAAAAGTGTGCCAGTCCAAAATAAAAAATACCCACAGACACATCATACAGTCCCACAAATTACCCCTGAGGCCCTGATTCATTCCATCATGAAGATTCTTGGAATTGACAAAGTAGGTACTTACCCTTGTTTATGCCAGGACTTTAGCCCTTTAAAATCTGCAAATTCTGAAGCCAAACATCAACATACAATCCACCATGCACACAACAGACCTCCTGCACAACACATTTTTGCAGAACAGACTACCTCTGCTGGAGGTGGTTTTTTCTCTTGCATATAAGATATAACAGACAAATCCGTGTAACAGACTTCAGTTTGTTTAGAAGTGCCTGCCACCTGTCATGGCCCAAAGCAATGCAGCTCCGGCATCTGGTAGAAACTGGACTGGAAAACGTGTTGGATTTCAAAGTCCTGTTTTTGCAAGACTCACTGAGCCTCACTCAAGGACAAGAAGTGGTTGTCACTTCTTCAATTTTGCCTGAATCGGCCAATCCTGAGCCAGGAAGAAATCACCTGATTTTTTCCTGACCCAGTCCAAGCACCTGGGTATAAAAACCCTCATTCTTTTAGAGAAGTAAAGTCAAAACCTAGTGTTAAAGGGCCTTTTAACGTTAAATTACCTCATTTAATATTCTGAGCTAACCATTGACTCTGCCATTAAAACATTGAATTAACAGCCAATTGATGAACTGGGCAATGAGAATGAACTCCTCTGAAAAGAGTTTGAGTTCTTATTCAAAACTTGCATTCTGATGGCTGCACAATTCAATTCCTTTGTCTGGGATCCAATGGACCCATGACACCACCAGTGGACATGAGTCCCTCTCACATCCCCCTTGCTTCCCAACTGAATTCGCATAACAGACTAGTCTGTTGCACAAATCAAGTCTGTTGTGCATGCGTCAACTGTAATGACTTTCTTGGACATGAACCAAACACATTATTGCAGGAAGCAAATGCATGAAAGGTCACAAATATCCAAACCGGAAGTTGATGAATGATAGATAACACAAAGAATAATTTATCATTTATATATAGTCCTGCATCACAAATATTCAATTCTTCAAAATTTACCTTTGAAGGATATTTTCAATTACAGTACTGTACATCCATTTTTGAAAGCATGTGCCAAATGTAATAATGCTATAAAAATTTTTTCAGACTTTAAAAAAACAATTGTAAAATTCCTTCTCCTGTTTGGCAGACTGTAAGATGGAAAAAAATTTCTTTACATCAGAAAGCCAGACAGGCTCTGCCTTTTTTTTGGCATGAAAAGAAATTTAGGATATGAAAGGACACACTTTCTTTTGATCACACACATTGCTTGTACACAGTTGACGGAAAAAAAATCCTTGAATAAAGCTGCATAGAATTGGCCTGCTTGGAGAATATTTACACTCCCATAAATTTATGGTACAGTAATACATTTATTATGACTTGGTTATCAATAATTGAAACACAAACCACTCTTTTGAAATCCATAAACATTATGCAAACTGTTTGTGCAGTACTTGGTTGAAATTGTTATCTTGAAGGAAAATTTGCTCACATCAGTTTTGAAAATCAAAAACTTCTTAAAATACATTGATATGCGCATGATGAACATCTTACCTGAAATCATCTCCACAAGCTCCTTGGTTGAAATCATGAGCTGACCCATGACAAGTAACTTCCCTTCCATCATCTGGCTTCTCAAACAATGACTTTTCAAAAAACGTTTTTGTCATTGGACTGAAACCCATTGAAACAAAGAAATCTTCTGCTACGTCATACATACGCCGCACTGTATAACCCTGTAAAAATGTTGTACAAAGTTCAGCATAAAATACCGTGAGATCATTTCTTGCAAATGTACCAATAGTGTACTTTGAACATGTCACCCGGCCCAATAATAGTAGCTAAATTATCTAAAAATCATGAAAGAATGAATGAATAACCCTAATAAACTCCTTTAAAATCACATTCATTATTGAGAGTCTAATTACTTTTTGCAAATATTTTTACAAGTGATCAATTAAAGCTGTTTCACCCAAAAATTTCATGAGACGGTACTGTATATAAAAATTCCACAGTCACAAAATGTTGAGAACATTATTTAAAACATATAATTTGCGATTTATTTTTTAAAATACAGTATAAGTAAAATTATGCGGGTTTGATCATGTTTCTGTACATTGATCACCTCTCATATGTGAGATCTACTCTACCATACTATGAGCAGTACAGTAAATAGGAATGAAGGTATTGAGAAAAATTTTAAACGATCACCTGTGAAAGCATTTCTTCTGCAATGGATTTCCATATGTTTTCGCTTCCAGGATAAGGAAGCTCAGTGTTATTTACCATGTTGAAATTTGTAGGAAATGTGCTCCCTGAAAAAGGAATCCAGATTTATTATATAGAAGCTGTATTAACCCAGAAAATATGGGGAAAAAATACTCACCCATGAAATGTGCTGGTATGGGGCCATTTAGGTCAATAAGGCCAGGGTAAACATTAGACAATTTAAATCTGAAGTAAGAAAATATCTTTTTGTACAATGGTTGTGCTTGTATCCACAGTTTCAGCACCTGTCCTCTCAAGTCAGGTGTTTCTTCAGGTGCCATCATCATCTCAGCAGCATTTGGATAACCTTCAAAACAATACTTTTATATTTTATGANGTAAGATGGAAAAAAATTTCTTTACATCAGAAAGCCAGACAGGCTCTGCCTTTTTTTTGGCATGAAAAGAAATTTAGGATATGAAAGGACACACTTTCTTTTGATCACACACATTGCTTGTACACAGGTGATGGAAAAAAAAATCCTTGAATAAAGCTGCATAGAATTGGCCTGCTTGGAGAATATTTACACTCCCATAAGTTTATGGTACAGTAATACATTTATTATGACTTGGTTATCAATAATTAAAACACAAACCACTCTTTTGAAATCCATATACATTACACAAACTGTTCATGCATTACTTGGTTGAAATTGCTATCTTGAAGGAAAATGTGCTCAAATCATTTTTGAAAATCAAAAACTTCTTAAAATACATTGATGAACATCTTACCTGAAATCATCTCCACAAGCTCCTTGGTTGAAATCATGAGCTGACCCATGACAAGTAACCTCCCTTCCATCATCTGGCTTCTCAAACAATGACTTTTCAAAAAAGGTTTTCGTCATTGGACTGAAACCCATTGAAACAAAGAAATCTTCTGCTACGTCATACATACGCCGCACTGTATAACCCTGTAAAAATGTTGTACAAAGTTCAGCATAAAATACCCTGTGAGATCATTTGTTGCAAAAGTGTACTTTGAACATGTCACCCGGCCCAATAATAGTAGCTAAATTATCTAAAAATCATGAAAGAATGAATGATTAACTGTAATAAACTCCTTTAAAATCCCATTCATTATTGAGAGTCTAATTACTTTTTTTCAAATATTTTTACAAGTGATCAATGAAAGCTGTTTCACCCAACAATTTCATGAGAAGGTACTGTATATTAAAATTCCACTGCCACAAAAAGTGGAGAACATTATTTAAAACATATAATTTGTGATTTATTTTTTAAAACACAGTATAAGGAAAATTATGCGGGTTTGATCATGTTTCTGTACATTTATCACCTCACATATGTGAGATCTACTCTACTATACTATGAGCAGTACAGTAAATAGGAATGAAGGTATTGAGAAAAATTTTAAAAGATCACCTGTGAAAGCATTTCTTCTGCAATGGATTTCCATATGTTTTCGCTTCCAGGATAAGGAAGCTCAGTGTTATTTACCATGTTGAAATTTGTAGGAAATGTGCTCCCTGAAAAAGGAATCCAGATTTATTATATAGAAGCTGTATTAACCCAGAAAATATGGGGAAAAAATACTCACCCATGAAATGTGCTGGTATGGGGCCATTTAGGTCAATAAGGCCAGGGTAAACATTAGACAATTTAAATCTGAAGTAAGAAAATATCTTTTTGTACAATGGTTGTGCTTGTATCCACAGTTTCAGCACCTGTCCTCTCAAGTCAGGTGTTTCTTCAGGTGCCATCATCATCTCAGCAGCATTTGGATAACCTTCAAAACAATACTTTTATATTTTATGATGATGAGAACATATGTCAAAATATGTATACCCAATGCTTTAGCCCTTTCTTTCAGTAATACAACATACTGTTCATACAAGGGCCTGATTTTCTTTCCAGTTGCATCAAACCAAGCTTTCCACAGGTGTTTTCTTTCCTCTGGGTCAGTTACATCTAAGAAAAATTCAAATATTCTGAGTCAAATTTCTGTCATGAAGATTATAGTTATACATGGAAATTTCTCACCAGGATTCAGTTTAATCCCGCATACCTCCCCATTTGAGCTGCAAATCTGAGCTTCAACCAGAATCTTCCCCATTTCTGCCTCCAGCCTATCAATCTAATTTTAAAAATCTCAGTTTTAAGAATGAATTTAAAGCAGGAAAAAAAACTCACAGTGGCTTTTTCAGCAAATTTCTTGGCCTCTGATTCTAAAGTTGCTGAACCGAGTTGTTTCCAAATGAGACGAACAAAGTATGAGTCGTGGTAATTTCTCCATCTTGCAAAAGGACCACGTTTGCCAAAAGCGGTGGCGGCAATTTTTGTCAGTTCTTCCATTTTCAGACCAAACGTTATTCCTTCTCCATCCTGTCAGGAGTTCGAGTGCAAAAATTAGTATCAAACTTGAAAAAAAAAAAAACAGTTGGGCCCCGACAGGCGGAAAAATTGATTTATGCACACTATAAACTTGAAAACTTCTGCTAAAACATCTGCAAAATATCTCAAGAAATATCGAAAATGACAAAAGCTGTAGTTTCAACCTTGAAATATCTGGATTAAATTATAAGCTACAGTATAATATTACCATGGGCAGTAAGGCAGAATAAAAGTTAACATAAATTTACTTCAGTGTTTATTATCCAAATTATAGGCCAATTTTGTGCTTTTTTATTTAGGGATTCTTCCATCTCTTGTGTCTAAAAACAATGTGTGAATTTTTTGTCACCTGGATTACTTTCCATGCCAAAAGGGCAGATTCTGTCTTAATTTCTTCTGCACAGTATTTTTTCCTTTTTATTAAAGTTGAAATTTTTTCAATTTTTGAAGGATGTCAAACATGAGAAGAGATTCAAGTTTCTTTTCAAAAATGAAAAATGGTTTAAATTGTTTGCCCATCTAAGTCTACAAAACTTGTAATTCAGAATGCACATGGTTGAACATATGAACATAAAGTCTGAGGAGTTATGTTTACATCTTGGGGCACCACTGCACTCATTCATTTAGTCCTGAAGGCCAAATATAAATGTATACATTTTGAATGTATTTGTGGTGTTCTAGCATACATTTTCATTGCAGCAAAAGCATTAAAAAATAATAATTATATTGTACAATGAGTTGCCACGCACATGCCATAAATAGGGTACACTTAATGTACTGTATAAGCAATATAGTGGAAAGTTCTGGGATCACCAGCATATGCTTTCCAAGGTTCATAAAATAATCAAGGGAAGGCTCTCCTGCTGTGCATCAACAAGGAATTCGAAAATTTGAAAATACTCACAATTGCATTCAAGTTTTCCTCTGTCATATTTGTTTGATAATTCCAATCAGCTATGACGTATGGATAGTATACATTGCTTTGCAACAAATCCCACGTAGCAAAGAAATTCCTAGCAGCTTTCTCCTCAGCTTCCAGGGGTTCTGATCCCCCGAGGTAATATTTAGCTTGTTTGTATTTGAGGTACAATTTGGAGATTTCATCCTGGGGCTGTTCTGCCAAGGTCAGTTTTGGATTTAAAACTAATATTGCGAAAAGGAATAACATTCTAATTAAAAATCAAGAAACACGAGTTCTGCTGAAAAAGCTCCAACATGGTAAAAGGAAGCACTTCTGTACACTGTTGGTGGGAAAGTATGAACTTTGACCTTTTATCCCTAAGTTTATCCTCCTGATGTCAACACCCTACAAACATTAAAAAAAAAATGTTTCACAGCTGCTTCAAACAGGCCTCTCAACAAGTTATTTCCCAGACTATGTTGTTCACAAAGAATATTTTCAAGTATCATAGACCTGGTCTTGAAAGTGACTTTCTAAAGTCACTTCCGGAATTTTTTTGTGGAGAAAATATCAATTATAATTGGGAAAGTTCTGGTTATACAATACAGTATATCCCTCAAGCTTGAAAATAAATTAATTATGCAAGTTTGTTTCCCGTTCCAGAATCAGGATTGGTTTATAAATATACTTCACTGTATGTGTAGAAAAAATGAGACATAAACTTGCATTCTATGTACCCATCAAGCCACGCCTGATCATTTTTCAACAAGACCCACATGGATTTATTGAAAAGGGTTTTACCAAAATACGTTTTTAAGGAATTCAATTGCATTTATATTAATGATTGCGCTGAATCAAAGCAGTGTGAATTTGAGAATGATTCAAAAGTCATAAAATCCATCACGTGTTGAACAAACTAATTATGCAGTCGTATTCCATAAAGAGTTTCCATTTGAAATCGGTCAAGTTTTATGCATTTTCTTTACAGCTGGAACATCTCTAAATCCTCTCAAACCAGGTTTGCTCTGTAATTGAGTTTTATTCAACTCAGTGATCAAATGATTTGCACATTTTCAAATGATTATACAGTATAATATATCCCAAGAGTTACAGCGGGTAAATTCTACAGGCATTAAAAATGCTTGAATTCATGTATTGTTAATTACAATGCAGTATAAGTGCTATACTGAGCAATACAGTACTGTACTTCAGACTGGAAACCTGGAAAATTTTTTTATTTGTTCTTTGACATTGTTCATACCGTTCTACTTCGGAAGCAGACAACTGGTCTGTGAATCCGGAGAAGTCTCGGATCCACGCCGCAGACTGGTGAAATTCTGAGTCAAGAAGAAGCGAAGTTTGGTTAAATCTTTATTGAAGTTAGTGATTTGTTGGAGTTGTCGCAATTTTAGGCTGAAGTTGAGGTTATGTGCTACTGCTTGTTGAATTTACTTGCTTTCCGATTTACAGGGGATACCACGAGTGATGTGACGCACTTTTTTGTTGTACTTACGTGACGCCGAAAAACATGTTGGGAGTCATTCGTGGTTCAGCTAAAGCACACAGTGCTTTGTACGCTGGCCTTTTCGCTGGAAACGTCCTCTGCAACAAATACGTTCTTTCAGAACTTGAGTTCACGTATCCGACGATATTTCAAGGTTGGCAAGTGTTAGTTGGTGCGTGTTTCCTGAAAGGAATAGCCACGTGCAGTGGTACTGCTGTTGTGAAAAGTTCTTTGGACAAGCCCGGTTTCATAAGTCTCCTGCCGACTTTCCTTCTGTTCGTCGGTACTCTCGTCGCTGGATCAAAGGCGTTGGCGGTTATTGAAGTCCCGCAGTTCGTTGCTTGTTTGAATCTTTCTCCTGCATTGATTTATTTATTTGACGATGCCCCGAAGTTCCGAAATTCGCAATGTGGAGCTGTGGTTGCGTGCGCCGTGGTGGTGCTGAGCACTGTTGGGCTTGTGGTACTGGAACTGGAAATGACATTTTCTGACTCGCCGTACTTCTGGATGCTTATCTGTGTTCTCTGTGCAAGTGTACATATTGTGCATGGAAGGATAGCGGATGCAAGATTTGAGCCTGTGGACCGGCTTTATTATTCATACCTTGTTGGAGTGTGCTTACTCGCCCCTGCAAGTCTGTATTTGGATGAGGCTTTTCAGGTTAGTTGGAATTTGAAACTTGGTGGCGAAATGGTGACAGTGACGCCCAGACGAAAATAAAGAAATTAAAGAGAATCTGGTGAGAAATTAAAAATAGATTATGAATCACGCATGACAAATTTTTCGAATCGGAAACAATCTTACCTTACGATTGTACAATATTATAAATTCTCTTTTCTCTGGCATTGCATGGTTTATATTGCCGATAGAAGCAGACGACTTCCACAGCGATAATAATCTGTGCGTGATGTTAACTGCCATATTCTCGAAACTAATAAGTATTTTAGAATTATCAAGAGAAGTTTTGAGGTGTGTAAACTAGTGCCATCGACCGTGTCAACAGTTGCTCATCTGGTTTTCGACACCGTCGAAATCTGTTGAAAGCTTCAAGTGATTGCAGTTATTGATTTGATTGATTCCTTGCAGGCGCTCAATTTTGCGAAGAATTCGCGGTTCCATTTTTTCGTCGGCTGTTTGGCATCGGGTTTCTTCGGTGTGACTTCCTGTTATATCGCAGCAACGCTAACCCCTACTGGTGAAGAAGCACCAGGAACGAACGATGGATCTGAATTTATGGGAATTTTTCAGAACGTGGGAAAATGTTTGGCAGCTCTTCTCAGCATATTCGCATTCCAGCAGAAAGCAGCTGTGACTGGTTGGATACTCGTGTGTGTGATGTTTAATTTGATCGCTGGCTTTTTCATCCCTGTGCCAAAGGACCCAACTGCGGAAGTTGGGTTCAAACCGTTGCCAACTTTTGTATCGTCGCCGGAGTGACGTTGACTACAGGGTCTATTTTTTTTTTTAAATTCGGATTTGACGAAATGCTGGAATTTAAATCTTGACCGCAATTTTGTATTACCATGTTCGTCGATATCACCCTGTAATTTTGTTCTTGCTCCATGATTAGCATCTCCACGCATCTCTGAGCTTTAAGAGGCTAGAACTGCGCAGCATGTTCGCGAGGAAGAAGATCGGGAAAGCAGGTATTTTTTTATTTAGATTTCTTGACGCACAGGATGTGATTGTTTCAGGAAGCTGGAAGCGTGATATGATTTCCTTGGTTGCCGCGGATCTTCCGGGTAGACGAATGGGTTGTTTCAAATCGTCGGACGACTTGAGCAGCGATGCAGTTTTTTTTTTTGGTGTGTTGGTTCATTTTCTGAGGCTGTTGTATCCCGAGCGGGTGAAGGGAATTTTCACTTGCCGAGGTTAGGGGATGATCAAGTAAACGGAACTTTCTTGCCATTTCATTGCGTCGCATTTTCTTCGTCGCTAAATCTGTTTTTCTGTGCCGGTTCGCGGAATCTCACATGATTTTTTTTTCAATTTTAGATTGAAGTGCAGAAGAATGTGGCGTGAGTTCGGATAAACGTGATTATCCGCGATGGCTTTAACCACCGGTTTGTCAAGTGATATTTTGGAACCGCAAGAACGCATGCGGCTCTTGACAATTATGGCCGATGTCCAGGTTGATGGACACATCGCAGTTCATAAGTAAGCTATAATTTCAGTCGTCTGAGACTGGTTTTTGAAAATGTGGGATAGGTTCATGAATGCTCGATTACCTGTTGAGAGTGACAGCTGTACGAAGAATCGTAAGTACATTAGTGGAAACAGCATTACGAAGAAAGTTCCGATGAGAGTGATGATTCAAATTTTGAGCACGTTTCTGCAAGCATTTTTTCCATTGCAGTGATTGGCTATGACTTGTTTGTATAATTTCTTTGCAATATGTTTTCAGATACTTTCGATCCGGTGTGGAGATGATGAGGATGGCGCAGGTGTATGAACAAGAAGGTAAAATGGAAGATGCGTACATGTTGTATCTTCGGTATACCATGTGAGTTTGAGTTTTACTCAGACATTGCATATCTGGAGATAAATGCAAGTAGATTAGGAAGCTTTCACTTTGAGTTCTGGGCATTATGAACGTATTTCATCGGGGCTCGAAAATTTCAAGAATGCATTTTTCCCCCTACCACTCAACTTTTTGAAGGGGTAGGATTATCGGAGTAACGACAGATGCGAAATACTACGAGGAAATCATCACATAAACTTCGGATCAAGTTGTATTTAAATGAGCGAATTTGAAAATTTGGATTAATTGCGGGATTCAAATTTTTTTTGTTAAGATAGGAAATGAAAACAACCCATATGAGTTGCATCCATGGAAAAGGCCTTGATCCGACTGAATTTTTGCTTCACTCACTTGTCGAATATTGCGTGTCTGTTGGAAATCGATTGTTTTTCAAATGATGCGATGAATATTCAACCGAATGTGAAACATCGTGCTTAATCGGTAAGATAATACCCATGTAATGCAGTACCGAACATCCTTCGTGTTTGAATATTTTGATTCAATTCGCTGGTTTTCTAAAACTACGCGATACTTGAAGAAACACTTTCGCAAAAGACGAAACATTGCATCCAGTAACGTAGTATTGTTGCTTTTTGTTTGAGGGCTTTCGTTTCTGATCGTGTTCTGCCTCTGCACGTTTCTCATGTCACTAAATACACCTCATTAATGAATCATATGAATTTCCACTTTACAGATTATTCCTGGAGAAAATCAGGGAGCATCCGGGTTACGCGGATGTATCGGTGGTGTTGAAGCAGGAGGCGAAAAACCGCCTGAAAGTTGCCATTGCGAAAGCCGAGGAAACGCGTGTCAAACTCAAAGACTACCTCCAACGTCGGTATGCCGTCCATCAGGAGTCCCTTAAGCGTGCCGAAATGGAACGCCAAAAGCGGGAACGAGAAGAAGAATTTCGTCGGAAAGCAGACAAGGAAGTTCTGGAGGCCAAACTTACTGCACTTGCTATTGCGAGGTTTTTAATTTTCATCCCATTTTTTTAGTGGCTAGCACTTATTTGTATATATTTTTTAAATTATTTTGCCGAGGATTTATAATTGGACTGAAAAGATGTAGTACAGCGAGTCTCCGCATAACAAATACCCATATGACAAATGCCCACATGACATAAAGGTCCGCATAATGAGAATTCCTCGGAAGAAAAACATGACTGACATGACGAAACTATTTCGCATGAAGAATTTTTTTGGCTCAAAAATTGCGCATGTTTCAACGAGTTTTGATCTGAGATTTTGGAATTTTCAAAGATTCAGAACAAATAAAACGCCCAGTTTCAAGCATTATCTTAATCAGTTGACAAATTCACGAAGTCCTGGGCAAGAGTTTTCAAGATTGCAGTACTTCAATTTCATAATGATCAAGATTGAATTAATAATTTTCTGCGGAAAATACACAAATATTATGGTTTACTACGCCATCTTCTTGATTGACTGGAACCATTTGAATCAACTGCCATTTAATCTGAAGGGAAACTATTTTCGCGTAATGAAACTAACTCAAGAATTGATCAGTTTCGTTATACGGGGAACCGCTATGTTTAGGGCATTTGTTCAGAATGTGAGTGAGAGAGATTTAATTTTCTGTGTGAACTGTTCTTTCAGGGAACGTGATTTCGAAGCCCGGAAAGCCAAGAGAGAAGCAGTTTCTCCTGCCAAACCGGAACCTGAAAACCTGCCACGGTCTGCGTTTTACCACGATATTGCGGGTGCCGTGGAGTCGAAGGCAAACAAGCCGGCGGTGGACCGTGCCACGAAACCGGACTTCCGGATTCACGATTCCTCTCGGGGTTCCGGGCTACGAACCATGATGGTTCCTGAGGCTGTGGTTGGATCGTTCTTGTCCTTAGCTGCGTCCAATACGAATCGAAATGTAGAAACGTGCGCCATTCTCTCTGGTTACTTGGTGAGTTGATGGACTATGTGTACTGTTGATTCTGTGACTCTCCGAGGGAAATTTAGCTGGGAGATTTGTACAGTAGTTCTTCCCACTTTTTGAGGCGCCTCGAGCTCGTGATTCAGTTTGCTTTTGGATATATGTCGCTTGAATTTTTTTTCCTTTCGGCTTCTGATTGAGGTGACCCCTTCTGTACAATTTAGGAAGTGAAGCTGGGCATTTAAATAGGAAAAGGACTTAATCCTCTGCTCAAATGTTTCAAGGTTGTACAAGGATATACTGTCTTGAAATTCTCTTGAAATAAACTTTGGATTTTAGCGTAAAATTTAGTTCGTAGCGGAAATTGAACGAATGTCATATTATGTGATTTCTCTAAAGGCTTGTGAGTGACTTCTAAATATCTTATCTTCTGAATAACTTTGGTTTCATAATGATTATTGATTCGGGTCTCTTATTTAGCTCTGCATTTTTATTATAAACTTTCGTCATAAGAGTCCCTCATTTCACTAATCGAAAATTTCGGATTCCCTTCATTGAGCAGGACTAGCGCGGAAATTACTTAGATTAAAGCGCTTGTTCATCGGATATTCGTCGTCAAATGTCTGAAAAATCTTGACGAAGGAGAATTTTTGAAATATTCGGGTCACTTGCCATCAATTGAACCCCCTGTGAATCCAAGAAACATGATGGGGGTGTCAAGAAATATCGAATTGTAATTTTTTCTCTCTCCATTCAAGTTCTGAATTACAGTATCTTATTTGAATGATTCTTGGAACATTTTGTCGATTTTAAGAAAATTAGGTTGATATTTTTGTTTGGAAGCCTGATTTTTGTAAGGGTTTCATGTGCCGTGTTCGTTCTTTTTCCACGAAATAATTTCTGTAGCGGAACGACAGCTTTGTGGTGACGGATATGCTAGTGCCGAAGCAAACTGGGACATCGGATAGTTGCACAACGAGTGACGAGGAGGAGATTTTCGAGTACCAGGACCAAAGAAGCTTGATCACCCTCGGTTGGATCCACACGCATCCGACGCAAACCGCGTTTTTGTCCAGCGTGGATTTGCATTCTCATTGCTCCTACCAGATGATGTTGGCTGAAGCAATCGCCATCGTTTGTGCCCCGAAGCACCAAGAGTAAGTTAATTTTCTTCGATTTGAGGTCCTTGAAACGGAAAAGTGGTTTAAATTTATGATAAATGTTCACGGGGCTGTTTCTTGAAAGATTTCTTTTCGTTATTTTGATGCAATCCAGGACTCGGTTTTTAATGCTCACGCCGAATAATGGAGTACAGTACATTGCAAACTGTCGTCAGACCGGCTTTCATCACCACGAAGAGACCGAATTATTTCAGGTTGGTTTCCATGCGGAAATTCCTTGAATCTTCTTGTGCTGTATTCCATCATTTTGATGTGGTTTGGAAATTTAATCTGTATTTTTCCGATGTCCTCAAAGGAAGGATTTTGTTTTCGGTACGTTTCACAAGAACTTCGTCCAATTTTATGTTCAATGATAGTTCACCGTATTCGCATTGGTAAGGTACTCAGTAATTTATATGATGGTTTTGAAGTGATTTACATTGACGTAGTTTAATATCATGAACAACTTTTGGGTGTTTTGAAGAAAATCATGGAACTGAAAAATTGATGAAAGCGAGGATATTTTCGTTTAGAAACTGTTGATGTTTCTTCCTGTGAATCAAATGTTTCCTTTTTCATCCGAGAAATTCCTGTTGTGGAGTGGCCGAGTTTTTTTGGTAAAATATTGAATTGTCGTCCGCATATTCAACGAAATAATGACGTGTGTTTTAGTAAATGTGTTATTCTGGCGGTAAATTTCTTTCTGACCGGTGAAAATTCTAATTTCTTGTTAAATTTTAGGACTGCACGCATGTGATCGTCCAAGGAGGTTTGCAGCTGACAGTGAAGGATTTCAGAGCTTAAAGAAAATGTGGGAAGATTCGTCAATGAAGCATCATTACTTCTTTTGTACTGACCTTCAGCTGCGCGACTCATTAGTCCACGTGATTGTGATTGATGCAATTATCCGATGAAATATGGAATTGCACGCTCGCGGGAAGTCCGGAACAAGATTCTTGAAAGTGGGAAGAGTGTTCGTTAATGGGAGGAAAACCGGAAATGAAATCGTGATTCGTATTTGAGGGTTCAAATACGTTTGAGTTCAGGCGTTGCGCCTCATTTTTTTGCGTAGTCACAAAATTCGAAAGATTGAGTTATTCCCGTGCATCAAAGATATCCGTCAATCCAATATCCATATCCTCCGCATTCTTCGAAGAAAGCTCCTGGGCTTTACGCATTGATTTTGGTGTAACCCGGGGTTTTCTGGAGCCATATAGCACTGAAACGTAACCTACGCAAGGTAAATTTTGTGCCACAGGAAATGCATGATGCCCGATGAATTACTTTGCAATCATTAGACATTTGAACTTGTGATCAGGTGCCCATACATTTTTCCATTTTATTCTGCAGTTGTTAATGATAGATGTCACGGGCAGTCATAATTGTGAGGGAAACTTGTTTCATTTCCTTTGTGCGGTTCAGGATTTGTGCGGGCCAATTCGAGGGGTAGAATTTTTTTTAGTGTTGATGGGTGTCATTGTTAACACAATAAAATTTTATTTTATTCATTCGCTTTGACGTGATTCGTATCTTCTAGTAATATTATGAAAACGATTTCAGTAAATGGCAGCGAATAAAATTTCAGTTTTTCTGGTCATCCGTGGAGTCCACGAAGATTTGTCGTATGAAAATGTAATTTACATATTACCGATTTCAAGCTGTTCTTTCTATATCCTCCCCATTGATTCGATTATGTGAATAGCTTCACCGAATATTCAAATCGCACGATAAATGCTCATCTTCCCATTCACTGGATTAGGTAACTCTTCGGACACCATGGAGAACTTAATTTTTCAAATTTGAGTTCGAAGATCATGATTTTTGATGGAAAAGGTCGCACTGTTGAAACTTGTGCATTTAAATGGAGAGACGCGTGTGTTTGTTTCCGGTCGTTATTTTGAATCGCTGTCTCGAATTTATTTTGGGAAACATTTTCATGATGGCACCTTTGTGATCGAATTGAAAACATGACATGAAGTTCGAAGGATGCATTCCAAACGCTTTTTACTTGCTGTTGGTTTCTTGGGAGTTTTTATTGATCATGTTGATCGCTTCAGAAAAAAAATCCGCGAGAAGAAAAGGGACTTGTGTCGAAGATGTTGAAACCTCGCGCACTGGTCGACATTTTAAACCAGGCCAACACCGGCGGCGTCCGCAGCTCGTTGCTGTTGAACCAGGACGGCGTTCTTCTCGCCTTCTCCGGCGCCGTCAACCGGGAATTCAAGGACGCCCGCGTCAAGTCCGCCATCGCGTCGACGGTGTGGAATGCCTACGAACGCACCGGAAGAGCCGCCTTCAACGAATCCGGACTCAACACGTTGCTGATTGAGAATGACGAGGGGGTTTGCGTCGTGACGAAGGTGTCGAGCTTGTTGCTGTGTTTATTCGCTGACGAGGGCGTCGGATTCGGCATTCTCAAGGCCAAGGCGGAGATCATTGCGAAATACCTGGAGGAACCTCTGCAGAAAGTGTCGGCGTGCTGAAAAAGATAGTTCTGCTGATCCCTATATATATTTTTTTTTCTTGGTGAATTCGCGTTCTTCCCGGAAGTGCAATTGAATTTCATTTGAAAATTTAGGTTCATTATAAAGAATTTTTTTTGTATCAGTTGTCCTTGTCTAAGATATATCTTTAAAAGTATTTTAGTTCAGGAGTCACTCGTATTTTCGAAAATGAACTCGTCTCAGAAATATTTATAGAATTCAATTTCCAAAATTTAAGGGTTTTGTAAAGCTTCGTGAAACTATTGGTCGGTGTACGAGATCAAGAAGGGTGGATCATTCCACGAAATATCGAGAATTTTCCTTGTTTCTGAATATTTTTGCTGAACATTCATGAGGTAATTTATTTGTAAAATGTTTCACGAATCTGAGAAGTAAAAAAATTGAATCGGGATACTGTACAATCCTTTGAAAAAAATCGGTGTTTGTGGAATGGTCCACGCTTATTGGAAGGCCTACTGAAGTTTTGTGGAAATTTTCCGAATTATTTCTAACCTATTAATCAATAAAAATACATTACTTTCAACTGCAGTATCAGAGAGGGAGCCAAATATTAATCTTGTAAAGTGAGTATGGTAAGTTTTTCTCTAAAAACTCAATCTCAGCTTTGACTCATATGAGGTGCAAATTTGAAAAGATTAAATTTTGGAGAAGAAATGCATGAATAATAATGCATGCATTTTAGGTGAAGATCTTTTCTAAGTTAAGATTTTTTCAAAAGCTAGGCATTCATTGTGAAAAAATCCCCAAAAAACCCTAGCATCATTTAAATGTTGACAATTTGAGGGTAGCATGTGAGGTATTTTTGTTAATCTTGAGAATTTTGTAAAACCAAAAAATGTTCCAACTCTTGCAGTTAGACATTTTCTTGGCACAAGTGGTATGTGCTTCAAGTACAAAATAAGTTTTTGTTTAAGCCTGGTTTCTGATAAAGCCAATACAGATTTTTTTTTCATTTAATGATGAACATTTTACAGAAGCAAACTCATTCAGGAACATTTTAGTTTTATCATGCGGAGACTTATAATATCCTGAATTTCATATAGCTTTGAATTATTTGCCATGGTATGGAACTGTTTAGGTCCTCCTTTTGGATAGATCATCAAAATCTTATAACTCATAACTTGAAAAAGAAATTGCCAAGACTGTTCTTTGAAATCCTCATGCTTTACATGGACAGACATGCTGTTACGGAAAAAAAGAGCAAGATACTAAGTAATGATGTCCATTTTGAAAAATGGTCCATGGGAGAGGTTTATGAGGTGTGGCCACATGTTTCTGATACTGATATGCCCGCCATTTTTCCAGCCTCTGAATAGGAGGATATAAATAAGGAAACGAGGTCCGGCATCTTGTTTCTTATCTTTGCTTCCTTTATTCACCCCCTGACTCTGTAATGCTGTCGCATCAAACGAGCTTGGCTTTCTTAGACCCCCCTTTTTATATGCACCATGGTTCTCTTTTTTTCCATATTTTCTTGGCACTCTTGAATGCGGGTCCAGCACATTTCCATTCTACGACCTGGTGAAGTATGAAGCGAAAAACCTTCTGACCATTGGCATTTTCCTCCACCCTGAAGGTCTTTGTTATCGCAGGCACATGTTTCACAGTGCCGCCCAATGGAGCGTAGCTGCGTTGTTCAGTAAGTGTCCTATTTTTTTTCATTCAGGGCGGTTGCACATGTGTCTTATGATGATTTCATTTGAGGCTCCATTTGATCAAGATGCGCAAGAATTTAGTGATGAATAAGACATGGTTTGTTTTGTTCTTCAAACAGTGCCAGAATAGATTAGCAGAAATTTGAGCAAAGAAGTACATCACAGGAGAAAAAATCTAGTATGATCTGCAGGGCCAAAGTACAGAAAAATCCTGAAATTTTCATCTTTGTGCAGAAAAATGTTCCTGAAAAAAATATTTACTGCTGGGTGGCACTTCCCAGACTCCCCCATACCTGCTGTATAGGATTCCAGAAACATCAACTTTTGCAATGCTTGATATTTTTGGACCCTTGTTTGGCTTTGTATAGCCAAGGTTGCATCTTTGTGATCTTTGGTCCCAAAAAATATCCAAGCCTCATATTTCAGGATGGAAATTCACCCAGTGAAATTCAAGGGTTAATAAAACCCCAGCAATCCAAATTCAGATCTTCCAATGGATCTGTTCTCTGTTCCATCAGAAGATGGTTCAATTTGGGTTGTTGAGGAAATCTGAAGTATTCATCAGGTTTCATTCTAAGAACACATTTTGAAGTAACTTAACAGCAAACTATTTTAACCAAGTTATTATTGGGACTATATGCAGAGCTATATAGCTAGTTGTTAACTAGTCACAAGGCAGTTGGGGACAACTCCTCAGGATAATCCACCTCCTACCTTGCCAAGTACTGGTGCAAATAGCTAGTAAATTTGTAGTAGCTGCTCATGAGCTACATATACTTTATTTTGGAAACAGCATCAGCCATTTTTGATAAGCTAGAGGGAGTCAAATACAGCAAAGATAAAATCTCAACAACAAAATGTATGGGACCAAGAGAAATTTGTTGTACCAGGAGAATTTCAGTGTGAAGAACAGTATTCCACAACCTGTGGTCTGCTATAACTAGCGCTCCTGGTCCTCATCAGAAGTTTTTTGCCAGTCCATAAGAAATTTTCTTCAGTTGAATATATTCATCAGAAGTAGCAATGAAGTATGTTAGCTCAATGTGAAATTTTTGAGGGACAACGGCAGTTCCAATTATTTGATGAAAGTAAACATTGGCTTTTCTCCCAATAACATACATGTCAGACAAAATTCCACTGAAGCTGTTTTATTGGATCTTAACTTAATTTTTGTAGGAAGCAAAAATTTGCACTACAGGTCATAAACATGTGGAGATGTAGTGTATGGCTTTAAATTTAACCTGGATTATTCAATCATTTAACCTTGAAAAATTTGCAGATAATTTCTTGCACCAACATTTTTTGAGTTTCCTTTATTTTTGTGCTCCTCTGTCAACCCTATTTGAGCAAGTACTGTATATCAATGCTAATACTGTAGTTTCAGCAGCAGCATGAAAAGGGTCTAAAAGAAATTGGCATGCAATTCCAGTAAATCTTTCAATTTAAAAAACTGTACACAGTACAGGATTTGAAAAAAAGCTCATGATATTTGTTGCCTCACGGATGTCAGCGATAAAGATGATAAGATTATTAACTGGTACGTCGCCCATACATGTACATAACTGTACGTGACGGCAGTTTGTCTGCCGTCACCCCCTCGGGCCCGGGTTCCGCGCAATTTGAGTGAGAAAGGTTCGGCTTTGTCTCGACTGACACCCGGCCTATTCCACCATAGGGCGTCTGAGCTCGTCAGCTGTCGACGATTGCGAGCCATTTTCTTGGCCTGACCCCATTAGGTTCGGCTTTGCGGATCATTGGGATGAGTTGTGCAACCCTGGGAACTGTTGATATTATTACGCGTTCCGGAACTTCCGTGCATTTCAACCCCCGGATATATACAGACGGATGCTAGCAGCACAGGGCGGAAACCCCTTATACAGGATATTCCTCCCCCAAGCAATAATTCCCAGCATGGGAACTTGTCTGTCAGATTTTGATGCTGAATTAATTTTAGCGGGTTGATCTGGTATTCTGCTTTGGAATCCGGCATGATAATAACATCGTGGCTGAGACGGATTGATCCCTGAAATTGGGTTGCTTTGAACAGTGTATAGCACAGGTTCACATGTATACAGTGAGACCCCCACATGCGGACACCTTGACACGGGGACAATTCGACACAGGGACATTTATTTTTCAATAAAAAAATCATAAAAAAGGCCTGACATAGGGACACCGAGTTCACTGACTCAACATGAGGACATTGTATGATAAAATTGGCAATACATTTTAGGAAAATTGACTTTTATTAGGCTTAATTGCAAGGCTTAATTGCAAGATATTTCCAACCCTAAGATTTATGTAAGAAAAATTCTTTGTTAATTTTCCCATCACTTTCCCATCCATTCAGCTAGTTTAAAAAATTACCTGTAGCGGCTGTAGCACAGAGGGACTTCCTTCTCTTTTTGTGACTTAGATGTTCTTTTTGCAGATGCCAACATATCAATGAACAAAGCAGTGGTATACTATACAATGCTCCAAATGCTCTTATTGGGTTGAAAATATATTCACTGAACCAAATTCAAGGGGCAAAGAAAATTTTTTTCATAGAATTCTGAAGAATATTTCTTCCATAAAACACCAATTAAAAATTATATAATGTGAGTCTATGGGAAAACAGGACTCAACTTATAGGGACAATTCAACTGAGGGACACTCTTAAAGCACCAATTATGTCTGCATCTGAGGGTCTTGCTGTATATGCACATTGGGGAGATTTATACTGGATAGCCAGAAAAAATACAGTGGTTGTAATTGTGGTTTCAAAGCAAAGCTATTTTGGGACCTGAAAATAATTTAGAATTTTAGATGACATGAAAAAAAACCTTGTGGGCATATTTTGAAGGCAGTAAACCTACTTATGAGCAAGACTTTCTTACAGGGAGATTTGCTGATTCAAGGTTCTATTGTTCACAGAACATTTTTTGCAAGGTCATTTATTCTGAATTGGTTTATACTAAGATGTATATGTAAGAAGACCTGAAATTTTTGTTGTGAATGAGGATTGATGATGAATGACATTTTGTCTAACAAGATTCCCCTGCGTGTAACGTATGTCATGGAAAAGGATAATGCTCATGAAATTTATATACAGTATATGGTATCCACTTGAACAGTTGCATGAAAAGTAGCATACTGTATATTGAAACTTTGGAGTAAATCAATTCATTTTTCAGAAGTTTACAAATTCTCCTGCTGGATGAACTGTCACCAAATTTCGTTTGTATATACTGTATATGCCCTGATTTAAATGGAAGCACAAATTCAACAAAAAATTAGGCTTTTAGAATTGTAAGGATTTTTGCATCCATTAAAAGTTTCCCT